AGAGAGAGAGAGAGAGAGAGAGAGAGAGAGAGAGAGAGAGAGAGAGAGAGAGAGAGAGGGCTTTAACATAAAGCATCTCTTATGGAATACTTGCTTAACCAGTGATGTGGGGGACACTAGGAATGGTCCACTCCAGACTGGAATGCCAGAAAACCAGATTGTTTTTCTCTCCTGTTATTAGTATGATGATAGTATTCAGTTTCTTGAAGCAATGAAGACCGAATTTCTTTAAGCCAATCATCAAATTGTTTTTAAATTTACCTCCAGTATATTTAGAATGATCATCTTGACTCTTAAAATTTGCTTTCTGAATTCTTAGTGTCTAATCTGTCAGGCTTGATTTAAATTCACTAGTTGCCTTTTGGCCGCCCCCATCCCTTTGCTTTACTGTAGTATACCCAAGCGTTTCCCAGCTGGATCCTATAATCCTCTTGCCCACTTCAGCATAGCCCCTCAGCCCCTGCATCTCTCATCTTCTGAGAATGCTCTGGGCTTTCTGGAGTTACCTAATTGTATGCGTTCTTTTGTCTGTCAGTGTGTCTCCTGTGGGTGTGACCTTGGAGGCTCTTCCTCAGGAGCTGAAGTCAGAATCCGAAACCACCAACTGTACTGCAATGACTGCTATCTCCGATTCAAATGTAAGAGAGCAAATCAGAGAGAAAATTTCTTGTCTTTTGAGGAGACCACGGGTTCCTATGTCTTTCCCTGAGCCTGCACCTACCTCCTCCTCCACAGGATCCCTGCCATAGGATCCCGGGTTCAGGATAGTACATAACCTATCCTCTTCAAAGAGGCTATGGAATGAGTTTCAGCCGCTTAGGAGGGATTGTAGGGTCAGGGAACTGGAGGGTCTTGTATCCAAAAATCAGGACATTGACTCTGGTTTGCAAAGATCCTGGAGGAAATGCTAATGACTCATGGAAACAGGATATAGGGTTAAGGCAAGTCCTCTGAACAGACTTTGATCTGCTTCCTGATTAAGGCTCATCTTCATCATCAGCTTAATTCCATATCTAATGATAAGACCTTAATGTGGTTTATAACGTAATCAACTTTGAAAACGCTTATGTTACTATATAACAGTGTATCCATACATAAAATTTCCATAAAAAAGGCGCTTAATTCTGTTTATATAGTGTTTCAGTGTTACTGAATTAAAAAAAGTGCTACTTTCTTTCTAAGCATGTGTTTGAGTATCATAAAGTGTAGGGTAGCATAAGTCTGTTGTGTGTTGTTTTATAGCCTCAGCAAGACAACAGCTATTGCTGTGTATGTAATTTTGAACCTTGATGCTGGTAACATTTTTCTTCCTTGTTGTGAAAGGGTGTTACAAGTGGTATCTACAAACCTATTGCTTTTGAACTCAGAGGTATTTATGTGGTCCCTTATGTGCAGAGTGTTTGGAAATGATTTGAACCGGTCAACTCTCTCTTATCAGTCAGTAGCTTCTCTCCTGGCTGACCAGGCCTTCCTGGGATGCTGACCCTGAAGTTGGGAGAATGGCAAGGCTGGGTATGGGGTCTTGGGAGTGTGTATGTGTGTGCACTTTTCTCTCTCAAATCCAAAGCCAAATATAATTGATTTTTTTAGTAGGCTGGTATTATAACATTTATTAAAATAATGCTATGGGTTAATAGAAACAGCAAAGAACCAAAGAATTAAAATGCAAGCTATGTGAAATACCAACTAAAACCCAGAAGTGTCTAATGTATTCATTCATCAGCTAACTAAAAGCCCAAGAAAGACAAGACACCCAATATAATAAAGTACTGCAAAACAATTGGCAGTTTTCAGTTATCAAAATTGTGGATTCTGCATTTTTGTATCCTTTTCTTAATCAAGAAAAAAATTCTTTTGAATGTTATATAACATACATATAAAACAAGATAGAAAAATACATTATAAACTTGTAACAATGGCTGTAAATACATTGTCTTACATGTTTCTCATAGGCAATAATTGATTTTTTGAACCATTGCCCATGCCTTTTCTCTCCTTCAGTACACATAATAGAGAGTTGAAGGTTTTGTTTTTGTGTTCTGATTTAGCAGTTCATTTATACTCTGTGTTTTACAAATAAAGAATTCTAAGACCCCAGAGGCTGTGATTACCTACTTTTATCCCAAGACTGAGTGGCAGGTAACTCTCTCTACCTCACTGGGCCACTCTGAGTGATGATTGCTATGTACTCCCTTGGGCTGACATTTCACATTTCTGAATCTGAGTGCTTTTCTCTCTTCTTTCCTTGCCTAATCAGCTGGACGGCCAACCGCCATGTGATGTAAGCCTCCATTCGAAAGCACTGTTGCAGATAGAAGAGGAGGCGGTTGTCACTGATGCAGAACTATAAAAAATGCTGTATGTTTTTTCCCTCTTTTTTTTTTTTTAAAAAAAGAATAATCTTTGCCTCATTAGATGACATAGGAACACTGTGGTGTTGGAGGACCTGTATTTTTGTTGTTTATTTATAAGAAGGTAATTATGTGGGGGGGGGGGAAGAGGAGTGCAGTATTTACCTTTTGAATTCAGCATCCTAAAAGCACAAGTGGAAAACAAAAAACAAAACAAAGCTCAAGAACTTAAAAAAAAAACAACAACCAAATTCACATGCTGATGATATGATGATCTAGTCTGACTCTTTAGTGGTTTTTGGAAGATGGTATTTTATTTTAATTTTTTTAAAAGTTCTTAAACATTATTTGAAATAGTTAATATAAATTTGTAATTGTGTTTGTTTATTATAATGTATTCTAAGTTAATGTGGAACCATATGAAAACTTTCACTTAAATCCATCCATAAATTTGCTCTTTGTGGTTTTCTTTACACAGAAATGGTCCATTGAAAATTAATTTTCCTTATGTAATGTTTTCTTTGCTTGAGGAGGGCACTGGATTTTCTTTACAAGGACTCTTGTTGCTGAGCAAATGCCAGTAGAAAGCTGTTTACTTTCGATAATGAAAAATAACCGTGGTTTGTACACCAGTAATTTCCTCCAGAAGCTAGTGAGCTTTTCTGTTCCACTGCCTTTGTAAATAAAATTGGTGATGCATTTAAGGAATGCTTTTTAAAACTATTTATTGTTTCTAATTATTTAATGAATTTGTGGTTCTAAAAAGTATGTAGTGTGTGTGTGTGTATATATGTGGCATCTGTAGGTGTGTGTTTATCACAAACATGTGAGTGTCTGTGGAGGCTAGGGGAGGGTGTTGGATTCCCTGGAGCTGGTGGATGTGAGATCTCCATCATTGGGGACTGGAAGCTGAGGTTGGGTCCTAAAAGAGCAGGTCCTCTCCTGCCTTCTATGCTGTCTCTCTAGCTCGCCTTTCATGCCTTTTAATTATATTTGAGTATGTGTACCTTTTTGATATTACATTTTACATATCTTTACTAAGATGCAATTGAGACATAATGCAGACTGCGTATTTTATGTTAAGTGTGCATAGCTTGACAAGTTTTGGTGTGTGACTTCCTGTTAAACTATTACCACAACCATGATGATTCTGAAGAAAAAGTTTAATTTTAATCAACGATTTCATTTCAGATAATGTTAGGATTTTGAATGCATTTCTATGGCAATGTCAGTAGCTAACTGTTGGGTCAGCTTTTAAAAATCTATTATTTTGTTCCTAGGGAGTTTGGGAAAATATCTTGAGCAAAAGTAGTGCTTTAAAACAAGAAATCTCATCAAAAATAAGTAATATAAAGCGTTAGTGTGCTTCGACTAAAAATATAAGGACCCTCAGCTCCTATAAAAATGCAAATAGAGTGAAAGCTATGTTAGAGGAGGCTTAAAATACATAACTAAGTGTTAATATGGAGAAAAATAAAAATTGGTTCCAGAGGTTTTTTTGTTGCTGAGCAATTATTTTTATTTCCAGTTATTAAAGTAATATGTATCTACTCAGGACATTTTGCCAAATTCCCCATAGCATTTAGAATATAGCTTACAGCGCCGAACTCCAATGAAAACAGCAGTTCTTGAACTCATTCTTCATGTGTTTATCCTGCATTCTAAGCTGACACTAGGTGAGTTCTCCATGTTCTTGAAATCATTTCTCCTGTCCTTTCTTCATGCATGCTACTCAAGCATTCTACTCCCATGTCACACCCCTAGGTCTCTGTTCTTTTTATTTGTTTATTTTATTGGTATTTATTTATTGTACACAGTTGTGAGTTTCATGAAGTTACTTTTCTACAGGAGCATCTTTGATTGTGTTCACCCTTCAATGTCCCCTCCTTTTCCCAGATGATAGAACTTCTGCTTTCATATCATATGTAAAAATCATTGTATATGAAATGTATAGCATCTACTAATAAGGAAAAAACATGTGATATTTGTCTTGAGTTATTTTACTTTAATGGGATGGTTTCCATTTGCCGTTATTTGAGCTATTCTCTTTTACAGTGTGTGTGTGTGTGTGTGTGTGTGTGTGTATGTGTAGTGGCACTGTGTGTATGTGTGTGTGGGTGGAAGGAAGTGAGAGAGAGGGAAAGAAGGGGGGGTTACAGAGCTGGTTCTCTTCCACCATCTAGGTTACAGAAAGCAAACTCAGATCATTGAGTTTGGCAGCAAGCATCTTTACTATCCGAGTTACCAACTGACCCCCGTGTTCAGTTTCTTAAAATAGTAGTTTATTTTTCTTTATGGCAAACAAAACACCATTGTGTAAGTATACCACATTTTCTTCACCCATTCATGTGTTTGTGGACACCTAGGCTGATTCCGTAATTTCATTATTATGAACAGAGTTACAATATAGAAATATCTCCTTCGAGTGTCTTCTGGGTATAAACGCAGGAGCAGTATAGTTGAATCCTATGGTCATTCTATTTCAGTTATGTGAGGAACCTCTATGATGGTTTCCGTAGTGGCTGACTAATTTACATCCCTATCGACAGTTCATAAGTACATGATGTACCCTTTCACCCATATAACCTCTCTCTCTTCCTCCCTTTCTCTCTCTTTCTCTCTCTTTCTTTCTCTATCTCTCCTTCCTCTTTTTTTCCTATCTTTGTGTGTGTGTGTGTAAATTACAGCTGGACAATTTTCAAGCTATGTGACTGATTTGCCAAAATAGGATTTCTCTCCTCTCTTTGTGGGCTAAGCTTACAAAGCAGAGAAGACTGATAATCTGTGGCCAAGCAACTCAAAAGATGAGGTTGCAGAACCATGGAGAATCATTCAGGGCATGTGTGTAATTTTCTAACATTCAATCTGTTCTACAGAAACTAGTACTTACTATGCCTCCCTGCAATGGTAGAAGTATGGAAGAGGAATTAGACAGGATAGCTTTTTGGTCCAATCTTCCTTAGAAGGTGTTTCCAATCGAGATTGTGTGTGAACATAGTGAATAGTAAAAGCAGCTTTTACTCCATACATATGTTAAAGTGTGAGTCTTCTTTGATACTAAATTAAGAAAGGAAAGCATGGAAGATAAATCTGTTCTGTTTAAGAATTTAATCTTAGTATTTTGCTTGAAACATTCCTCAATATCAGAGGAATATTAGAAATCCCCAATAACAAAAGTGGAACTGTCTGAATTTTGGTGAGTAACAGCATAATAACTACCTTTGGTGGTTAGAGTTGAGAGACATGGCTGATAGGGTGTTATTGTTGGGACTTTTATTTTTTTTTAATAGCACTTTTATATCCTTCTGGCAATCTGGAAAAGGGATTAAAAAGGCATGCTCACACAAATCCAAATTCATGCCAGTGAATATGGCATTAAAAACTACTTTGTGCGCAAACATATGTATAGAGACAAGAAAGCAACTTTCAGATGATTTTTTTAAAAACGTGTGAGTTCTGAAGCACCTGTACACACTCATTTCAGTCTGTGGTAAAGGACACCTAGGCTGGGAAAGAACACAGTATGTGAAATCTTGAGAGCTCTGGTCACTAAAGAAGTAAAGATGTCTTTGTGGCAGAGTTGTTACTTGATTTTGTTCAGAGCAGGTATGATTCTAACCGGTCAAACATTTGTGAAAAAATAAATATATTTCTGAATTGAGTCCACATCCTATGAATCTCTCTTTTGTATGCTCACCAAACCTTACATAGTCTTGCCTGTTTTGCTGAAGCATGCACATTTGCCTTCTCCTGCTGGAGAATAGTGGGATGCTATTGTTTAAAACAATTTAGTACATATTTCATAGAGAACAGAAAAAGAGGAGTCTGAAGGGTCCTGACACAAAGAAGATATTTCAAGGAGATAAAAATATCACAGAGACTTGTTCATTGTGCATAGTAGATATGTATTGAGTTGTCACCTGACTCCCATAAATCTATTCAGTGATCATATGCTCACTTAAAATACACTGATGGACCCACAAATACCAGATGGAAAATGTCATGGGGCCTAATGAATTTCAGAAGTACTTTCCGGAGATGGACAACTGGCTTAGCCTTGGTTTAGGTTTTTTGTCACATGTCATCTAGGAGGATTTTGGTGACCAGCTGGAGTCATTCTCTGAGGCAGCTTTATGACTTTAGGGTACATTTCAGCCTGTAATTAATTTGTATATTTTTCTTATTTGTTAATTCTTTTTGGACCTCAGAGCAATACAAGTTTTATGGGGGCATGGAATTTTCTGGTTTTGGTTATATCACCAGTATTCAGAATACTGACATAGCCAAGCAGTGGTGGGGTATGCCTTTAATCCAAGCACTCAGGAGGCAGAGGCAGGCAGATTTCTTGAGTTCAAAGCCAGCTTGGTCTATAGAGTGAGTTCCAGGACAGGTAGGGCTACAAAGAGAAATCTCATCACAAACAAACAAACAAAGGTTAATGCCATAGTAGGTGACAATAAGCAAGGAATAAAAGAAATGTCATGGTGGGACAGGTTAGGTAGGTGGCTGAGAGGACTCAGCCTACCAGCATGCTGACCAGAGAGCTGGAGACAAAGTGGTTTAGAGACCAGAGAGGAGACAAGCTGCAAATAAAGGACTGAGCTGAAGCAGAAGAAAATGCTATTCTTTCTTTGTGTGGCATTTATATGCTCAAGTCAGCATGAATATGAAGAAACTGACTTCTTACTCAACAGGTAATCAAGAAGTTCAATTTATCTCACAGTTCAATAATGTTCGAAGAACTTCTCGTTCATCTCAGCCTATGTGACTATCCACAGCATTGGCCCATCCTAAGACTAATTAATTGATAACCATGGATGCTGGCAAGCTTTGAACTTCCTTGCCTACTGAAAGACTGATTTTCTATTTTTCTCCACTGTGTAGGAGGACTCCCCAGACGACTTCATCAAAATCCCACAGTTATGGATAGAGCTTGAGTTATTTGCTTATGTTGAGCCAAGGGTGATCTTACATTCATGTCCATCAGGATTCCTACCCTCAGCTTGTCAGAACAGCCTCTAGCCATGTTCTTGTTAATCTAGGAGGTTATGATGGAATTAAAGTTGGGGTATCAACCACACTGTTTATTATAGTTAGCATTTAGGAATTCTCAGAAGACCTTATCTTGATCTCAGGGAGCTTCTTAAGAGCCAATACATAGAGAAAGGAGACAGGGCAGAGGTCATGTGTGGACGTGTTCCTTGGTCATAAATGGCATGTGTTCTAGCAACTAGAAAAGACTGGCTCAGGACAATGGTGAGGAGAAACCTGGGTACTTTGCAAACGCCTGCCCTAAAATCTGTGAAAGACAATCTTCAGATTTCTTATATAAACTTCAGGACAGCGACACATGGATCGAGCATCCTTTTCTTATAGTTAAATTCTAAGCTCATAAAGTTTGGTGTTAGTTGCTGCATTTAGGTGACTTGGTAAGTCTTATTCTGCTTTGTAACTCGATGAAGTTCTTTGCCCCTTACATTATAAAGACCCTTAACGTACTTTATGGATAGTTACATTTATTTTTCACAACTTATTTCTGCAGAGGATTATCCCAAGTAGATTAGAGTTGGAAATAGAATTTACTGACAATGCCACAGTAGAGCCCATTAAGATCATAAATTGATATATTTTTGCATGCTATTGCATTTCTTAAAATGGTGAAGTTCTTTATTAGCTCCAAAAGATGGCTGTGTAATAGGTTTGCCTGTGAGACACTGATTATC